TTGTTTAAAAGAAATTTTGTGATCTGCATATGAGAAAATGAGTATGATTAGCATTATTTGTAGAAAAGATTCTTAATAATATCTTGGGTCAGATATAAATGAAATAAAACATAAAACATAAAAGATGACTAAGGACTACTAATTTTGAAATGGTAGTAATTGCTGTGTGTTTTTTTTTTTTTTTTTTTTTTGGTCTTTTTTGTTTTTATAGGTACCAGGGATCGAACTCACAACTACCTGCTTGCAAGGCAGGCGCTTATGCCGCTGAGCTAAATCCCCAGCCCCGAAATGGTAGTAATTGCCTAATTAAAAGGAATAAAAATTGAAGCCATTTGAAGGTAGTCACTCATATCAGATGAGACAGAAAATACTCTACCCATTTGAATGAATGAATAAGTAAGCAAAACAGAACCAAACAAATTTTGAGAACTAACAATCTGGCCAGAAATATGTTTTAACAACTACCTATAAGGCTCAATGACAAATTACTAACATCAAAATTTCATACTAATTATAAACAATGACAATTATATCATCTAATTCTTGTCTCATTTTCAAAAAAGAGTAAGAATCAAAACAATCGACATAGGAATAGGGATATTGTTACTTAGAAAATAAACTTTACAAGTACAATTTTGAAAAGAAGATACTACAAAAAGAAATTCTCTTTATATCATAATGTTAAAATTACAGGTTTGCTTATTTCCAAATATCCTATATTGCTGGAAATCATACTAACTAAACTTTAGCATTTCTTTTTTTTTTTCTTTTTTATCAGTACTGGGGATCGAACTCACAACTGCCTGCTTGCAAGACAGGCGCTTATGCCGCTGAGCTAAATCCCCAGCACACTAACTAAACTTTAAAAGGACATCAATCATTAATATAGATTATAATGTCAGAGGTACAGGATGTACCTGATTCCTAACTTACCAAGAGATGAGTGAATGGTGGCTGTGTATCAAAATGATTTTTGTGTCCACTGATTCAATGAATAACCTGGAAAAATTACTTAATTTCCTCCAAATAATAGTTTGCTCATCATAAAATCAAAATAATAAACTACTGTATGCCTTAAATGAGGCAACACATACATAAGAAGAATACTCAAGAGATACAAGTATTTTAAATAATCAGGTACCTTGAGCAATTGTATTCAAAACACTGAATATGTAAATTCCTATCATGTTATAAATATTATTCAGAAAATGAACTACTAAACAAAATTCACTTTATGCTATTCTAATTAGTAAAGCATAACAGTAACACCCTTGACCCCTATATGATGGAGTTTTTATAGCAATTTTATATAGGTATGGACAGGTATAGGTAATCACAGTCTTTTCAATTCTCCCTGACTTAAAAGCCACAAGATTACAATATAAGGGCTGGGGATTTAGCTCATCAGTACAAGTGCCTACCTGGTAAGTATAAGGTCTGAAGTTTGATCCCTGGTACCAAAAAAAATTATAATACAATATAGATAGAATAGGTTGGTACACTAAGACCAAAGTACAAAGGCAAACTAATACCCACTGACGATTAAACAAAGATCTTATTATGAGTTTTAATTAACTGGGTAGGATATTTTGCTAAAAATAGCATACACACATCTCTTGATTTCTGTTATCTCTCAGAAGTAAATTAAATTCCAAAACTTCAAAACTAGATTCAGTCAGGATTCCAGAGAAAACTTTTTTTTGGAAAACTTTACTTTAATAATCTTCCCTGAAGAGATTTGTCAGACCCACTAGGACTTTGACTGGATTAGACCATTTTGTCTACTCTACCACCCATATTCATTAACTAGGAACTAATCATATCTATTATAAAAAATATATACACATCTAGGAATAGAATACAGTATATTGAAAATGAATCATCTTACATAAACTCCTGGTAAAGAAAATGTATAGTCTGGAAAATAGAATGATCATAAGAGACAAAGTAATCTTTTGTAGCAATCAAAGGTATCAAACAACTCATTTTCCCTGCATACATTCCAAGGAGGCAGATTTTAACACAATAGAAAAAGAATTACATAATTTATCCAGAATTGAAATGGGATCATAATTTTTCTGTGGAGAAAACTTTGCCAAATGGAGAAAACCCTAAAAAATCTCTCGCATGCTCTCATCCAGTGAACTTTAGAAATGTATTCTAAGTAAATGATTTGGAGATATGCTCAAAAAATGTACATAAAAGAAGGATGACATGGTTTATAATAGCAGGGAAAAAATGAAGGCAACTTAGATATTACTCAGTCATGAGTAACTTTCAATTAATCATAACAAAGAGAAAATGTTTAACGTAAAATATAGAAGGAAAAGGTATACAATTTTGTCTTCTTCTTAAGAAAATACCTGTATGTATAAAAATACCTAGAAAAGTAATCATACATGTATTTAGAAGAAAGTAAATAATAATATATCAGTTGATTTTTGTCTATACATAGGGGTAATGCAGATGACTTTTGTTCCCAATTGTAAATCAGAGCACAAATTACTTCAATCAAATGGTGACTAATCACCTGTCAGAATTATTATGAATCATATGATTCCCAAAGTCCCTTTTAATTCAAAGAATCTGCAACTCTAAAGAAAATCTCCTATAACTAATTTTTTTTGTTTTATCGGTACCAGGGATGGAACTCACGACTGACTGCTTGCAAGGCAGGTGCTTATGCCGCTGAGCTAAATCCCCAGCCCCTTCCATAACTAATTTAAAAATCAGTAAGTCTCTGCCAATGCCAGAAAATCTAAAGTTATATTTTCAAAGAAAGACTGACAGCCAAGAATGACATTAATTTCAGAAAGCACATCAATAGCCTCTGAATAGTAGCTCTTTTCTTAAGACAGAAAAAGAGGAAGAGGACCTAAATGAACTGTACCAAACACAAAAAAAACCAAGAATGAATTTCCAACTGCCAAAGAAAAGGAGGAGAAACAGGAGGACAAGGAAGAAGGAAAAAGGCAAAACAAAGAAAATTTCTCTCTTATTTTATCAAGAGCAACTGACAATATGGATGAAATAATCCATATGAGTAATTAATGATTACAATCATATAAAATATTAAACATTTTTATCTGGTAGAGTGAGACTACAAACTGGAGAGGAAGAGGCATTAAGGCTCTCCCTTTTAAAAACCTCATTATATTAATTTGATTAGTATCAGAATTAAATAACCTGTGATAAACAACCATCTCAACTTTCCCTAAGACAGTAAACCATTAAAAAAAGCTAATTAGCTCTAGCTCAGATTCACAAAGCATATGATGTATGTCAAATGTTTAAGTAAAATAAGATAGTTTCATGAAGTTATAGGCTAGAATTTTACAACTCAAAATCAAGGCAAATTGAGTGTGGTGGCAAACGCCTATAAATCTCAGCACTTGGGAGGCTGAGGCAGGAGGACTGCTGTAAGTTTGAAGCCAGCCTGGGCTACATAAATTGTTCCCTTTTAATGACTGAAGATAGACACTTGTCACAGTGATATGTATTTTTTACTAGAGATTAAGACAATATAATAGAAAATATTAGGATAGCATAACTAATATCTGGATGAGAACATAATCCAATTTACAAAACCAAAAGAAAATAATTAAAAATTTGAAGTGTAAATTACTTAAAATACTCAGAGAAAAAATATTTTTATTTCATTGTTTGTTCATTTGTGTGTGTGTGTGTGTGTATGGTATATATATATATATATATATATATATATATATATATATATATATATATATACCTTACCATCTTTCTTGCTAGCTATATGATATATAAGAGTTTTAAAAAGTTAAAATGAAATGCTTATATAGTTTCCCTATATTTAGAGTATAATATGACTTAGGAAAAAATTTTTGGTTATACTGAAAGATTGGAGAACAAAAGTTCTTGCTGAACCTAGTCAAAATATTCACCTTTCATTTTTCTTTCCTTTTTTTTTTTTAAAGTGAAAGTACTATAAACAAAAAGAGAAAAAACAGAAACCCTCAAGACCATGATTTCCCCATAATTTATCATCAACAAGGAAATGCATATTTTTCTAAAAATACTGTAACTGAAATACAAACTTACCTTTAAAAAAGAAAAAGATTACTGTCCTTTTAACATTAAATGTTTATATTTATCTCATAGATTCATTCTATTGGAAAGAATGTAGCAAACTAACACCTGAAATGTAGTTAAGGTTTTCTAATTAGCATATAAAAATATTATAAAAATTTCAAAAATAAATAAACAGAAACAGTTCTAATTTGTTTAAAGAACATTTTAAATGCTATATAACTACATAAAACCTGCTTTGTCCTATTATTATCTCATACTGAGGCAATTTTACTTGACCACCACCTATTTCCTATTGTGACAAATGATTCAGTAAACAGTATCTTTACTATTTTTTAAATGTTAGGATATTTAAGAATTTCTACCGATATGTATGAGTAAATATAATACATAATTCAGCAATTTTTAGATCTAACTACAGTACCTGAAAATTAAAAGCCAAATTGTGAAATAAACTCTTCTAAAATAAAACTACATCAAAAACAGCACCCTTGAATTTTTCCTTTAAAAAAAAAAATCAGAAAAGTAAACATCTTCAAGAAAACAATAATTCACATATTGTTACTGAAAACAGTAACATGCAATATATTAGATTTTATTTTATTTTTTTTAAATTTTATTTAAAAGAAAATTTAAAAAACAAAATAGAAAAAATGAGAAAAAAGTAGACTACAGAATTCAAAATAATTAACATAAAATCGCCAGTTGATACATTATATATTATCATCTTAACAATAGTTGTTGAAGTTACAAAATCAGAGAAGCGATTATTTTAAAGATTTTAAAAGGTAGCACACCGTGTGTTGCAACAGACTCTCAAGATCTGCAATCATGCTGCAGTCATGAATAAACATATTCCTCTGAAATTCTAAGTACATATGGCCACACCAAGGGCATGGAGCATGCACATCAGACTGAAACAGATTTTACATTACCTCCAGCCTTAGGGCCACCTGCTGAACCAGGCTTCCTTGCACTGTTGACAGGATTTCCGGATGTCTTAGGTGCAGGAACCTTGAAAGCTGAAGCTGCTGTTGAAGGCCTATTTCCATCCACTGATTCCTCATCGTCAAAGCTTTTATCTGCACAAAGCATGAGAAAAATGTATTTAAGGAAGCTAAGCTCTGTGTGCATTTTCCATAAGACTAACAATCCAAATAAAGGCCTATATAAAATCATTACTTTAGTAACAGATATAATACAAAATAAAGGTCCTTTTAATAACATCTATATGTTGATTAACATTATATATATAAAATAACCCAGTGTAATTTAAAGTAAATATAATATCATCCTATTTCCTACCTAAATGTATAAAGTCAAAACATAATAACCAAACATAATCTAAGAGCAGCAGAAAGCATTTTTCAGTTTTCTGCTACTCATGTAAGCATTTCTGCCAGCTCCTCCCATAGTGCATCTTCCAGCATGCCCTGCCTTATTCCTTATACCCAGACCCTGCAACTTACAATCACAGATCCGTTTGCAAATCAGACGCCTCATTCCTCTGAAAGCTCTTAATTTCCCTCACCCTAGGATGCTCCCAATAGTTCACATGGCCGAATGCAGTAAATCTGACACTAATCAAAGATTCTATCAAAAATAGATAGAAACAACCACAGAACCACCACTGAGGTTTGTGCCGGCATTTTTCTTTCTCTTTCCTGCCCTAGGTGCTGCAACAGCCAATCAGCTACAAGGTGACATCATCTTATGGCAGCTACTGCCAGATGAAAGGTAAAAATTCTCCATGCATCTAAAAAATTTTCTATGCATCTACAATCTGTATTCCATATCAAAACTGTAAAAACATTTAATGTCAAAGGCTTACAAATCTGAACTTGTTTTTTCTTAATTGACATAATTATATATAAATAAAAATAAGGTTTTATGTAATATTCATTCTACTGGAGTACTTATTATTGCATCAGTAAAGAGTGGAAGATCACAGTGCTCATTACTGCATGTAATTAACTCTGTAATATCAGAATTTGTTGTTTATTTAGGCCACAGAAAGAAAACTGAACAATTTGTTATCATAAATGATCCTGTAACATTCTACAAGGCTCTTCTCACAATGTGAATAATTTTACTAGTATCCCCTCCTTATTATGGAAATGAAACACCCCAACCTCTTCCAAAACAACAACAACAAAAAAATTGCAAGATATATGCAGTTTACTGTTCTGAAAAAATGGTTTTCTCTAGGACCCTGCATAGACCAACCCAGACAAGATGGGCGAGGCAGAGAAGCAGCTTTACCACAGGCTTCAGATCAATCTGCAAGAATCATCTTCCATTTAATCTGTTTTCCTCACCTGTACAAATACCCAGTCACCACCAAAACAAAATCATCTGCAAGAAGGGATGCTCTAAGTATAATTATTAAATATGTTTAAGAAATACTCCAAGCAACTTTCATGACTATTTTATGTATAGGGTTGTTAAAAGCTTCCTTAATAAAGCCATATTCTATTTCAGCAAGTATTCACTTAAATCTTCTAGTTAAAAAAAAAAAAAAAACTTCCTTAGCATAACACCAGTCTGGATAAATTAATACATTTCAAAACCATGCTTTACATAGACTGTGCTATTAAAAACACTACTACAATACCAAATAAACTTTTTTGCCACTATTATGCAAAATATGCAGCCAAGACAGAGTAGACACGAAAATCTACAGAAAGGCATTAAATCAGAGTAACTAAAACTTCCCATGGGAATAGTGTTCTGATCCTATATACACACAAGAATCGAAGAGTAAACCTCCCTTACCATTAAAAAAAAAATTAACCCTTAAGATTCTCAAATTACTGCTAAGTTAAACTTTTTTATTCAAATACAACAAAGTATATAAATCTTAAATATACAATATAATGACTTTTCACAAATGAACAAGACAGTGTAATGAATACTTAGATCAGTAAATTATTACTTGCATCCTGTACACACCTAAAGACCCTTAAAACTCATTACTACAGTTATTTTTGAATTCTAACACTATTGTTGGTTTTGCCCACTTTTGAATTTTATATATACAATGAATCATATAATACACACAATGATATCTAGCTCCTTTTCACTAGATGTTGGAAGATACTAACTAGGAGATTCATTTTCATTGCTTGTATTTTTCTAGTGTGTGAATGTACCACAACTTATGTCCTTTCCACTACTGACAGCTACTTGGGCTGTTTCCAACTTGAGATTTGTTTCCAAATACTAAAAGGGGTAAGCAAACAAAGTTAAAAGACTCTAAGGATTTTAGTATTATTAGGGAACAGTAAATATAGTATGTATGGGCTGAACATCCCTATTCAGATTGGCTTTATTCTGTCTTATTTTATTCTCTTAAAAATAAACATTTTAAAAAAGCTAAAATCTGAAATGCTCCAAAATCTGACACTTTTTGAATGATAACATGATGTTCAATTTTAGAATCTGAATTTTAGAATTAAGGATGGTAAACTGATAAAAGTTACACAAATACACCAAAATATGCAAAAATTTAAATTCTGAAACACTTCCAGCCCCAAACCTTCCAGATGAGGAATTACTGTATGTAATTTATTTTAGATTATAATAAATCAAACATGCATCTATAATATGTAAGATACTGTAATACTGTAATATTTAGGAACAATACTGTTCCTAAAATGTGATTCTCACACTAACAGTTATCACCAGTGATTTATTAGAAATGTAAACCCCTCAGATCTCAACACAAATCCACAAACATGCTGAATCAGAAACAAGAGAGAGCCCAATAATTTAAAAAGCCCTCTTAATTGTCAGGAAGCACAATCAAATTAAGGACCACTTCTTCCATGGCAAAGGTTGCAAATCTTTTCCATAAAGCATCACATAGCAAATATTTGAGGCTTTTCAATTCATATAAAGTCTTTCTGTGCAACTACTCATATATGACCCTATAGCACCAAAACAATCATCTGTAATATGTAAACCAACAGGTATGGCTCTGTTTCAATAAAATCTTACGTACAAAAACAAAGAGGGCAAGCTGGGTGTGACGGCACAAGCTTGTAATCCCAGCACTTGAGAGGCTGAGACAGGAGGATTGTTGTAAATTCAAGACCAGCCTGCGCTACAAAGTGATCTTAACTGAGGCCAGCCTGAACTATATAGTGAAATCCTGTCTCAAAAAGACCAAAAAATAACCCCAAACAAACAAAAAAAACCCAACAACAACAAAAACCACACATTAAAAAACCAAAAAAACACACACACAAAGAGGGCAGCTGGATTTGGTCTGCAAGCAACACTACCAATTCTTGCTCTAGGGCAACCATTAAAGGAAGGGCAAATGAACATGAACAAATTAATAGAAAGTAAAAGGAATAAAAACATTTGATTAAAAAGACATAGAAAAAGAGAAAATAAATGGTAATGATTACAACTATGCATACCAGTTAAGTACCTTAAATGTAAATAAGCTAAACAATCCAAGTAAAAGCCCAAGACTGAATATTTTAAAATAGATTACTTACATGAAATACATACTACATATAAGGTTATATAAAGGTTAAAAGCAAAACTATAAAGACTGACCATGGCAAATACCAATCAAGAGAGATATAGCTATGGCATAGCTATATTAATTTCAAAGTAGGAAGTTTGAAGAAGCATTACTAGAAAGAGACATTTAATAATGATACAGGGATGAATCCAAGGGGAAGAAATATCAAAATCTTAAGTGCACTCAACAATAAAACTTCAAATATATAAAATAAGGATTAAAGAAAAACAATTTTTGGGGGGGGCGGTATACTGGGAATTGAATTCAGGACCTCACACTTGCTAGGTAGACATGAGCCACTGAACTAAATCACCAGCCTCCTAAGAAAATTTTAAAAGGCAAAATAAATCTAAAAAATTTGTAAAAAAAAAAGTAAGGTTACATGTTCTTTTATCATAAGTTAAAAGAATACAGAAAATAATTCATTATCGTAACGTTAAAATTAAAATCTGTTTTACATTACATACAGAGATTACGAATATTCTAGTCTTAAACTTTTTTTTTCACCTATAAAATAGCAAAACAAATCTCAATTCCTTTCCTACTAGCAGGTATCATTTCATAAAATAGAAAGTACTGACTTTTAAAACGCTGACTTTTAGAAGCTTCTTAACAGCAGGAACCCTGTCTCAAACATACTGTAATACCGTTGCCCAGAACAATAAGGAACTCTCATAGCCAGCTAAAATCTCCTTGCTTCTGACCTCTTTCTACCTTGTGCATTTCTTCTTCTTCTTTTTTTTTTTTTTTGTCTTTTTTATCGGTACCAGGGATCGAACTCACGACTGCCTGCTTGCAAGGCAGGCGCTTATGCCGCTAAGCTAAATCCCCAGCCCCGTGAATTTCTTCTTGACACAGCATCCTGAGTTGAAAAAAGTCACACCACTGCTCATAATTCTTCCATGACTCTATAACAAGGTCTATTGGGACTCTAAGGCCTTAAGCATCGTGTAACAGTATCCAACCTCATGTCCTACTTACTCTCTTTTTCTCCAATTCAATCCTACTAGCCTTCTTACTGTGTGTCATTAAGGACCTTTGTACTTGTTTCTTCTATCTACAATGCTATCTCCACATCTGATGCCCTCCCCACCCCCGTATCCACCTTGTTCACTCACCATCTTTATGTCTTTGTCACCTTTCTCAATGAAGCTTTCTTTGAACACTAACATTGCAAACTTTCTGACACACTGACACCATGAATAAGAATAGAAAGAAATAGATATCAGGAATGCATCTATTTAAAATCCTGTTTCTAAGAGCAGACAGACTATCCAGTATTTACATATTAATCTAACTTAAAAATAATTTTAGAGATTAGAAAATTGTAAAAAAAAATGACAACTTTTAATACTATAATCAAACAGAATTAAAATGAAAATACAGTGACAAATCTAAATTCAGGAATTAAAAATATTAAGATGTTGTTTTGCATATGTACCAACTCCCCACAATGAATGTAATCATTATGTATTACAAACAAATGCTAACAAAATTTTTAAAAATTGAAATAAATTTTAAATAATGAAATCCAAATTCAGTGGG